GAGAGAGAGAGAGAGAGAGAGAGAGAGAGAGAGAGAGAGAGAGAGAGAGATTTCAGGCAGTGACTATTTAGGGCCTATGTGCGCCCAGGATCTGATTCGACGTTTTTGAGGACAGGCATTGGTTGGACATTTGACAGGGAGACTTTCTCGGATGACTACGAGTTCTACGCTCGTCTTCTCTCCCCTCTCCATCTTCGTCTCTCCTCCCCCCTTCATCATCCGTGGTTTCTTCCCCATGTGTATGCGCAAGGAGGGACCCTTGTTCCGTGTATGATTTCCTTCCTTGCTGTGTGACATGTGTGATGATGATTGCGTGAGTCGAGTCTGGATCTGACGTGTCAGGTCATATCTTTGAGTCTTCCGCTGTGCTACATTGCATTATATTGTTTTGCTTTGCGTCCTGTAAATCACACTGGTGCTCCTTGGACATGTGCACCGCTCATCTTCAGATGAGCATGCATCACTCCCTGAGGCAAGGATCACCCCAATCCCAAGCAGGGACGTCTCACCCCAACCCCAAGCAGGGACGTCTGGCGTGCGGTCGTTAAGGTCTGCAGCGCACGTGTCAATGCATGTATGGCTTCCCCCTTCCCCACGGGCCTTCACCGCCTTCACCGCCTTCACTGCAACCTTCCTCATCAGAGGTGTCATCTTCCTGTTCGTCTTTTTCTATGTGGATGACTCCGGCTGATTAATTCCAGGGGTATTGCCGGGGTCAATGGCCTTTCTTTGTAGTCATTTACGGATATCATAGCCTTGGCTTCCGGGCTCACCTTTTTCCCATGATGCACGCATGTTACTAGTACCACACAGATCACAAGTTCGAATCCTGACTGGACCAGATGAACAGTCATTGAATATGGGCATTGCACAGCAAAGGAGGGCCTACCCCCTAACAAAGAGCTCAGGAGGGTCTTAAAATAAAACTTTGACATGGACATCAACTTATCGACAGCTTCAGGTGTGTACCCTTGAGGCACAGGGAAGGTGTTATAACTTGTAACCCTTTTTTTTTTGTCTTTTTTGTCTTTTTTGTTTTTTGTTTTTCTAAAACAGCCCGCTGGGTCGACCATTCTGGGTCCACCATTGACGGTGATACGAGCATCCCCGACTAGTACCATCTGTGCGGGTGGCTCCAATCTATTGGTGGGGAGCAGCTCCTGCTGGAAACCGGGTCCAGCGTCCCAGAGTACAAAAGCCTGATCTCCAAGCACAAAATATTTCGCTGAGAAAATTCTCCACAGGGGCCCGGCAGCATTGATTGCAGCCCTGCATTAGGCAGGGGACTAAAGCCTGCCTCTTCAGTCTGCCTGCAACCTACCACTGTGGTTGAATGAATGTTTCACATGATTCCAACCCAATACACCTGAGATAAAACAAAGGACTCCACCAACTATGCACCAAAAAGTTTGTCCCAATTCCCACTAGAGCTCCTGCCAACAAGGAAACATCGAAGAAAACTACCGTCTTCACCCGCATAGAACGTCCGGTCATTATAGCTGCATTTGGTACAACTTTCAGTCCAGATGCGGCGATAATCACCGGGCGTTTTATTCGGGTGAAGAAGGCTAGGTATTACAGATCATGCCTGACTACATATATCTCCAGTTGTGCAGCCATGGCCACATGGAAGTGAAGTGTCGATCCTGTTGGTTCTCTTACCACCACAGGATCGCAGGATCTCACAGGATGTGAAAAAAAAGAAAAAAGAAAAAAGGAAGTGAAGTGTCGAGAGGAGCAGAAATAGAGATTCTCTTTACACACACAAACACACACACACACACACACACACAAAAAAAAAAAAAAAAAAAAAAAAAAAAAAAAAAAAAAAAAAA